ATAGACTAGAAAAATGCCAACTATTGCAGAAAGGACACCATTTCTTTGCTATAAGGTTTCTCAGAGCTATTCTAAAGCTATAGAACCCCATTCCCTCATTGAAATAAAAGGGAAGGACACACTGGGTATGGAAAATGCTCAAAATAGGATGAAAGGACAGGCAAAGGGATGGACTTCTCTGTGAAAGTCACTAAGTAGGTCAGTTTATAAAAGGGATGAGCTATGGGAAACAGAACTGATATCTACCCATCCCTAGGTGGCATGGAAAAGATGGATTGGGAGCTGCTTGTTACCACCTCTGGGGCAAAAACAAGAGCTCCAAATGGAGCTGGGATCAGAGAGCGGCTCCTGATGGCACCAGGCACCAATCCCACCTCTGCGTTTCTCTAATTGACCGCATAACTTACAAGGAGTTTAGGATGACCAGTCAGAGTCAAATCTAGCAGGAGTAATTAAGATTTACCCAATCCCAGGCTAATCTGACAGCTCACACTGATGGAGTTCCTTCTGCTTTCACCAACTCTGTGCATGATTTCCCAGCTGTAGGAGCTGCAGAGAGGAGATGCAAGTCTTGAGAAACAGAATCACAGAACCACAGAATCCTTGAGGTTAGAAAAGCCCTCCCAGACCATCAAGTCCAACCTGCACCCAATCCCCACCTTGTCACCCAGCCCAGAGCACTGAGTGCTACGTCCAGTTGTTCCTTGGGCACCTCCAGGGATAGGGACTCCTCCACCTGCCTGGAATACCACTCTCCTTATCCCTGTCTTAGTTTGGTTCCTGGCAGTGCCTGAGGAGGTGGAGGGGCTGAGGGACATCAGGGTGGAGAACAAAGACGACAACAGAGGAGTCTTTCTGCGGAGACACAATATGTCACGTTGGAAGGTGGGAAAACCACCAGCAAACCCAAACACTGTGTGAGGGAATGAAGAAACCTCGGGAGTGAGTTAAAGTACCGTACTCAGAATAGGGCTGTGGAGCTCAGTGTTTCTACAGACAATGGTGGACGAGCTCCAAACCCATCAACAGCCCAGGGAATCCTACTGAATTCCGCGTGCTGGAATCTGCCACCAATTAACAACTCTTTAAGTTACTGCACCAAAAATACCTCCCACAAGCAGGTTCAGCACTTCACCATCCTGGAAAATATTTTCTTTGTTGTATTTCACACAAAATGACTTATATTAAAGAAAAACTGAGGAAGGAAACAAATTATTCAGCTGTGTCTGGTTTTTTCCCAGCCCTCCCCATGGATACAGAGTGACCTTGGTGATGAATTTTATATAAAGTCACCATTCCAAAAGGAAGATGTCTTGGACGAGGACTAAATAGAGTCCGACACATCGCATCACACCTATTTATGCTAAATCTGTCTCCCCAAAAATAGCAGCTCTGATTAAAGACCTCTGACTGGCAGGTCCTGGAGCTCAATTTTTAGCTTGTCCAAGTTACCATATTGTTGCTGTTAAGAATGGAAATGATCAGTGAGCAGTGGTAATGACATCCCATTAAAAGAGTGTCTTTCCCTGGCAGGATGAAGGCACAGACAGCCTTGGAAAATGCCCAGAAATCCTGGCTTTAAGGAGTTTCCATGTCCAGGTTGGAGAGCTGATGTGCTCACACAGGCAAACATCTCAGTGACAGTTTTTAGTGCGGCCTCTTTCATGGATACTTCTGCTGGAATCCTGAAAAATGGCTTTAGTAGGAAAAATAAAAACCTTAGAAAAACACTGCAGCATCTGCAACCATGGAATAACAAATAAAGAAAACTGCATTTTATGGCCCCAATAAAAATTCCTACAAATACATGTGTAGTAATGGGGTTTGTTCTCAAGATTCATGCAGACCATTGCTCCCCAAAATGGCACATTAGGAAGGAATCCCTAGTGGAGGAAGACCTGGGAAGACAACAAGCTATCCATGACCAGCAGTGTATCCTGGGGGGCAAGGAGGACAATGGGATCCGGGAGTGCATTAGGAAGAGCATTGCCAGCTGGTCAGGGAGGGGATCCTGCCCCGCTGCTCAGCCCTGTGAGGCACATCTGGAGTGCTGTGTCCAGTTCTGGGCTCCTCAGGACAGGGGGAACATGGAGCTCCTGGAGCAGATCCAGAGGAGGCTGCGGAGATGATGAAGGGACTGGAGCATCTCCCTTACGAGGAAAGGCTGAGGGAGCTGGGGCTGTTCAGCCTCAAGAGGAGACACTCTCCAACCTCTGTCAGTGTCTGCAGGGAGGGGTCAGAGGATGACAAGGCTCTGCTTGGGGGTGCCCAGCAATGGGACAAGAGACAACGGGTACAAACTGGAACACAGGAAGTTCTACATGAATATAAGGAAGAACTTCTTTAGTGTGAGGGTGGCAGAGCACTGAACAGGCTGCCCAGGGAGGCCATGGAGTCTCCTTCTCCGGAGATATTCAAATCCCACTTGGGTGAGTTCCTGTGCAACCTGCTCTGGGTGAACTTCCTTTAGCAGGGGAGAGTAGACTGGATGATCTCCAGAGGTCCCTTCCAACCCCAACCATTCTGTACTTCTGTCACTCTGGTCACCCATGGATAACAGCATCCATGGTCATTACTGTCCCCTCAGCTGAGTGCCTTTCCCATGAGGTGGTGGCTCTCCAGGCCGGGTGACCCCACAGGCTAGGCACTGACATGTCCCTCCACCCAGGGGCCTCCCAATGCTGACTGCACCAGGGCACGTACTGGGTGACCACAGCAGCCCCACTGCAGCCTGTCCATCCTCCCCTCCAGTCTGTCCATCCTCCCCTCTGCCTCCAGCTTTCCCAGCAACCACCATGGACAGAGCCTCACACCTCCTCCTCCTCCTCCTCTCATATATGACCAAAGCCTTCCAATCCAAGGAGGTTTGGAAGTTACAAACCAAGAGGGTTTGGGGGTGTTATGCCACTGCACAAGAGTATCTAATGCAAAAATGAGTATGAAACAAAACCCACTGGAGGGTAAAAAGAGCTCTTCACCCTTTGCTTCAAATGTTCATGAGTCTCTAACGAGTCTCTCACCAACATTCCTTCAGGACATCACAAGGTGCTCGGGTAACTCATGTATTCCCCAAATTTCACTGCATGACATGGAAAGATACTTCTGGCACAGGACTGGAGAGCACAGCACAGTACTGGGGGACATGTCACTGTGCCATGATAGAATCACAGAATCTGCTGAGGTGGAAGGGACCCACATGGATCATGGAGTCAAACCTTCAGCCCTGCACTGGATCATCCCCAAAAGTCACACCAAGTGCCCCAGGAGATCATCCCAATGCTCCTTGAGCTCTGGCAGCCTTGGTGCTGTGACCACTGCCTTGGGGAGCCTGTTCAGTGCCCAACCACCCTCTGGGAGAAAAACCTTTTCCTGAGATCCAACCTAAACCTGCCCTGACACAACTTCCCTGTGGTCCTGTCCATGGTCCCCACAGAGCAGAGATCAGTGCCTGCCCCTCTTCTTCCCCTCCCAAGGAAGTTGTAACTGTAATGAGGTCTCCCCTCAGTCTCCCCTTCTCCAGCTGAACAGTCCAAGTGCCCTCAGCTGTTCCTCACACGGCTTTCCCTCAAGGCCCTTCACCATCTTCATGTCCCTCCTTTGGACATCCTCTAAATCATGTATTCCCCAAATCTCACTGTGTGACACACCAAGATACCTCTGGCACAGGAGAGCACAGCACATCACTGTGGCACACGTCACTGTGCCATGACACACAGACATCTCAGCTTCTTCTGCAGTCCTTGGCTGCCTGCAGGGCCAGGAGACTGCAACGCTGCTGCCGACACAGCTGAGCACAACAAGGAGTGTGGGAACTCACAGGGAAGATGAAGAAAAGATGCTCAACACCAGGAGAAACAGCACCCTGGCTGCTCTCAGGAACCTGTCAGCTTGGCAGCTCTACACTGACTAGATGTTGAAAATCATCAACCATTTTTAGAACCAGTTCCTGAATGGTTTATGAGGCAGAGCAGGTCATACCACAGGATACTTTTGCCAGGGAAAGAAGAAAGCCCATTTCATATTTCTGGTTCCTAATCCATCCTCATCCCACAGAGCACCAGGAAGATCAAACTGTGATATTACTGCAGGACAGAGCTCTGATGGATTTAGGGGAAAAAAATCCCTCGCCATATAAGGGCTGTGAACATTTTCCCACTTAAGACAACGTGTGGGATCATATTCACAGACACAGAAATATGTTCTGTTCCCTGACACCCACAGTCCTAGAACACCGGGCTGAAGTGCTGGCAAGAATAAGAACCATTTGTTAAGTACAAAAAATGTCTCACATAATTAGAGAACTGCTGAAAGCCACCAATTTAGTGCTCAGGCTTGAAAATGTAAGAATATTTATTGTAACAACAGCAAGAGCTTCAGCGTTGCCTCGAGGTGGGGACGCCGCACACATACACTGGTGTGAGCAGGGGATCAGATACCTGGGGCAGAGCCAAACACAAGGGGCAATGAGATTCCAACCCCATCCCAACACCTCTATTAGTGGATTTTATGATAATTATGAAGCCAAGCTGCCCACCAGGTACCCAGAGCACCTTCCACTGGGGCGACGCGTCCCCCTCCTCAGCCTCATCCCTTCCACCCACAGCCTCCAGCCATCGCTCCGTAACCATTCCCTCCTGTCCAGCCCATCAAACTGCCTCTGCCCCAAAAACTCTTCAAAGGTCAACACTGAGAAGGGCAACAGCAAAGAGAACATGGAATGTGACATTAAAAACAGAACATATGGTATCTGAATGGAGTTGATTTTTACATATTGGAGAATAAAGTGATGCAAAAGAAGCAGAGAGTGGGAGGGACTGGTGGGGTTTGACCGGAGAAGAGATGGAGACAGAGCTCCTGAGCCTGCCAGAGAGGAGCTCTGCCAGCCACAGCTTGGCTCCTCAGCCACCAAAGCCACCAAGGTCTCCCTGCCAACAGCTCCTCAGCCCCACAGCTCAGCTCCCACCAGGTTTGTTCCCCTCCCACCCAGCCCAGTCCAGCACCTCTGCAGATGCGGGTCACGCGCCGCAGCAGGGCCAGGCAGCGCCGCCGCCGGCCCGGCACAGAGCTCCTGCCGTAACCCAGCGTGGGGGTAAATCCATTTCGGCAGCGGGGTCCTCTCAGAGCAGCCTCTGGAATGCCACCTTTGTGGTACCACACAGCCATCCTTTCCTTCCACGAGCTTCCCTGCGGCGACCGCAGCAAAAATTGAAAAAGTGCAAAAAAATGTCACCGACGAAATGGGACTTTAAAGTTGGCAAGTGAAAACCAATCCAAGTCCAAACCAATCCAAGGCAAGCAAAGCTTTAAATTCCACTCCAGGGCAGCTCTCTGCAGGATGCAGAGCAGCAGCTCCGTGACTCCGGTGGCAGGGAGCAGATGGGATGCTCTGCCCGGCCCCTCACACAGCGTCAGCTCCCGAGCTCACCCGGGTGCGTGTTTGTCACAATGCTCCTTAATTCCGTATTTTATACCTGCCACATTGCTCCATCCATTGCTCTATTTATAGTCCGTGCCAGAGCTCCCAGGCACCCAACTCCATCGACACACCAAGCAGCAAAGATCTCACAAGGATGTCTTTACATCTCAAACACCCTTGAAAGCAGAGCAGTGACTGACAACTGACATCCCACAAAGCCAAGTACTGGTTTCCCATCCATGGGAACATGCACCGCACTCACAGTCCCACCGGTTTGTTCCCGCATCCCGACTGCTGCATCTGGACAAAAGGTGCTGCTCTCCTGGACAGATTCAAAGCAGTTCTGCCCACTGGCCACCAGCTCCTATGCTCAGAAAAGGTTAAACTTGCTCTCCGCAGATTTTCTTTGCTCCAACTCTCATTTGCAAATCCTTTCCCCAGCAAAATAGTTGGGAAAAAAAAAGGCAAAAAAAGGCATTTTCCTCCAATAAGCTTAAACTCCTGTAGCTATAAAGTCATTCACTCTGGATACAAGTGAACTAAAGGATGAAGAGTGTTCTCCTCCTTATAAGAAAAAAAGCCTTCTTGAGCTTACAGCTTCCTTTCTTCTTTATTCACCATAACTTGATCCATTAACATGGTATTTGCTCCCCCTTCCCAGAGCACTGGGATTTAACACTCCTTTACTTCCCTAATTTCTCACTTAGCCACAGTCCTGCCAGCAGCAGCCTCTCCCCTGGGCTGTCAGACCTCTCCAGCCTGATTCTCAGCTCCTTCCAGCCATCCCTCCTCCTGTCCATCACATCCCTCCACCTTCCGCTCTTCTATAACTTCTCCGTAGGTCACACCAAAAGGGGTGGCTCTGCCCAGTAACACATGAAGGATTTCTCTGCCATCAACAAATTGCTGCATTCCCAAGGAAAAAAAAAAAAAAAGCTCTGAGAAAAAGCTCAGTTCTGCAAGGCTTGTCCCAGGATTTGATGCAATCTGCCGTGCCGGTAAATTAAAGCCTCCAGAAACCACGCTAAAATTAGAGAGAGCTGAGATGAAAACCAAGGACACATGGTGGCTCTTACAAATCTTTACATAGGGTTTGGTACAGCATCGAGGTGCTCGGCTTAGATCCACCAAGATCATTAATTTGGATTAGAGAGAGGCATTGGCTGTTTCTGGGACTCTTTGCAGGGTGGTGGGTGTGGGTTCCCACACACCGAGCTGATGTCCCAGCAGATTCTCAAAGTGTTGGTGATCAGTCTGATGGATTCACACCCCTTTGCCAAAGGGGAGAGGTTTCTCCTACACCCACTTCCAGAAGGTTTCACTCCCAGGTCACCAACCCTGCCCAAGGGAGGCACCCAGGACTGGCTGTCCCAGACACAGATGGAGCTCCTGCAGCTCCAGAGATGAAGCCTTCACTCCCCATCACCCTGCAGCAGGTCAGGGGAGGGGGGGTGGGAGCTGAATGTCCAGGAGGGTAAAATTCACCTTTTCTGAAGCATTAGGAAATCCTTGCTGCACATCAATCCCCTTTCCTACCCCTGACCCCTGGCCTCTCCTGGCATGTGCTGAGACCCCGATAGCACCATGGTGGCTGGGTGATGGCACAGGGGATGGTGCCAGAGGTGACTCAGTGGCCATGGGGCTCTGGGGTGCTCAAGGGGACTTTGGGGAGCTCTGAAGCTGCCACCACACAGTCACAGCCTGCCCTGCCTCGGCAGCAGCTCTGAGGTGGGTCAATCCCTGTTCCCTGGCTCTGAGATGAATCCCAAAGCTCTGCTGTATTTTGCATCCCTGGCATCTCTGCTTTAAAATCAATGCTAACAGTAAAGCCTTGTACAGCTGCAAGTACCTCAGGGACAATTAATTCCTCTTTAATATGAAGTTTGGTGGCTTTAACAGTGCACATGCTGTTTCCTTGAAATATTCCAGAGACAATGGGCAACCTCCCTTTTAAAATCCTATTTGTAAGCAGCTACAACTTCTAGAAATTTTTAATGAATTTTTAAGAAGCATTTACAAATTACTGCAGGCCCAAAGATGGGGAATTTGCTGCTGGCCAGGCACTGCTCCTCCTTCCCAGGGACTCCCACCAGTGGAGCCGTGGCCGACCAGCTGCCTCCAGCCCAGTGTTTGCTTCCGAGCTGCAGCTCCCTGAGCCTACTCCAATCTACCAGGCACTCAGGAATGGCTCCTGTCACTCCAGCGACTGCCAAAACTGGTGTAATGTAAAACCGGTTTTTTAAGCATTTCACAGGATTTGTGTAACTGAAGACACAGGAAAGCCCCTCCTCTGTGAGATAATTAAAAAATTAAAAAATGCGGGTTTATCAAAGGAAAAGTTTTACAGATCAAATCCAGGCAAAGGATGAAGTTCACAGGGACACCAAGCTGACACGACACATCAAGCTATTTCATTATAAGATCATTAGATTAATATGGCTTTGACACAAACCACAGTCATTAATAATGTTTGGAAAATGAAGAACCCTCCTTTCCCTGCAGCTGCATGAAAAGAAAGATCCATGACCTCCTCGAAGGCCGATTCCCTTCCCCCACACCTATGAACTGAAGCAATGTGAATATTCCCAAAAAGAGGCCACACTTTCCAAGATGCACAATTTATCCCTAATTCTCTGGGTTCTGAGATCAGCTGTTCCTATTTCTTTACCAAGTCCTACTACTTCCCAAAGTGGCTGCAATCTGTGCCGTGGAGGTTGCCATGGCAAGGATCCATCCTCCAAGAGGAGCTGAGTGAGCAGATGCGGAACAGCAAAATCCAACACATTAAGTCACTTCTCTTGTCATGGAATGATAAGGAAAACGCTTTGTATTTCACCTGTTCCTAAGAATTATGATCACTCAGAACACCCCAGGTTAAAACCATGAATGACACGTGGCTGGAGTTTCTGGCTGAAAATCACAGATGTACGAGAGCAAAATGAAGGGATTTCACTGGAGTGGCAGAAACAGCAAAAAGATCCATATGGATCGTTTCTGTTTTCCAAAAATCAAGGAACTTTCACCAGGGCTCTCATAGCCATGACCGTTCCTGGTACAGCCCCACAGTAATAACGAGGAAACCCAGCTGGTTCCTCGGTCCCCTCGGCAGAGACAAGGAGATAAGTCCGGGGGGGATGCAGGCCCTGAGCCCCCACGGCCCAGCCCCCTGCCCAGGTTATCCCAAATCCCCCAGAACAGGGATGCGCTGGTCCCCATGGCCCCAGTGCCGACCAACTTCAGCATCCGCTGGCCTTCTCCGAAGCGGCCAGGCTGTGGGATGGTGCTGGCAGAAGGACACGGCACCGAAGCCACGCGGGACCGCGGAAGGCAGCGCTGTCCCTGCTCGGAGGCACCTCCAGCACCGCCGGTGCCTCGGGAGGGTGGCACCGGCGCTGGAACGGGCGCAGAATTTTCCAGGAGCTGTGCTGAGCCCGATCCCCGTTCCAGGCAGATTAACGGGAACGCCCGCGGAGACGCGCCCGAAACATCCCCGGGGTGCGGGGGCTGCGCGGAGGCGGCGGCACAGCGCGGTCCGTGCCCAGAGCGCGCCGGGGGAGCCCCGGGAGCCCCGCACCGCCCCCGCTCCCGCTCCTGCCGCTCCTTTGTCCTCGGCGCTGGCTCCGCCGCGCCCGGCGCTCCCGCCCCGCGCCCCTCGCTCCCCGCCAGCCCCGCGCCCCGGTGGGTGTGCGGCACGGGCATCCTTGCCACGGGCATCCCTGCCACGGGCATCCCTGGGGGGGGACCCCGGGCCCCCCCAGCCCCGCGGTACTCACGGTGCAGGCGGGAGCGCGCGTCCATGCGCGGCCGAGCCGCGGTGCGCGGGGCGCGGGCGCTGCGGGGGCGCCGCCGGGGGCTGCCCGCGGCCGTCCGCCGCGCCCGCCCCGCCGCGCCGCGGAGCCCAGGGCCGGGCCCGCCTCCGCCTCCGCGGGCGGCGCCCAGACACAAAGCGGCGGCGGCGGCGGCGGGGCGGGTCCGGTCCCGCTGCGCGCCCGCGCTGCGCTCCGCGGCGGCGCAGGGGCGGTGCGGGGGGCGGGACGCGGACGCGACCCCCCCGCGGGCGGTGCGGGGCGATGCCGTGCGGAGCGGTGCTGTGCGGTGCTGTGCGGAGCGGTGCGGGGCGATGCCGTGCGGAGCGGTGCGGAGCGGTGCGGGGCGATGCGCGCACGCGGTGCCGCCCAGCCCCGCCCGTTCCCCCGCGACGGGGCGCCCCGCGGCCGGAGCATCCTCGGCGGGGCCGCGGCATCCCCGCGTTGCGAGGAGGGGGAGCCCCCCGAAGCCCCGCTGTCTGACAGCCCCCGCACGCCGTGTCTCCCCTTTTTCCCCAGGCAAGAGCCATTGCCCGCACTTTGGTCGAAGTGCGGAGCCGGGCAGCGGGAAAGGGCTCGCAGCCTCCCGGGAGCGGGAAAGCGACGGTGACAGCTCAGCGTCCCCCCGAGGGCCTGAGGTGTCGCAGACCACAGGCTAAAACCGCGTGGGCGATGAGGAACACCTCGCAGGGCATCCTGCTCGTGGGTGAGGCTGTCCTGCCTCCCTCCATCACCCACTGCGGGAGAGAGCAGGACACATGCGGGGCTGTCCGGCCCCACTCGGCGCTGGTGTGTGACCTAGAGGTAATGCTGATGACCTGCTGGGGCTTCACAGAAACACACAATGGTTTGGAAAGGGACCTTAAAGCTCATCTCGTTCTACCCCCTGCCATGGGCAGGGACACCTTCCACTAGATCACTTCCCACAATGCCGGGTTCCTGCAGCTTCTTCTGGTGTTGTACAGAGCAGCTGCTGCAGCAGCAGCAGGTGCTGGTGCTGCTCAGTTCCTCGGTTCCCACTCTTTGTCTCCAAACACAGCAATCCCTGAGCCACAGCCCCTCCGTGTCCCGTTCACTGTTCACCCCTGCCCCGTGCAGAGCTGGGCTGGCTGGGGGAGCTGCTGCCACACGCAGCCCTGGGCAGACCGTGCCAATGCCATGTGATTTCCTCTGTGACACGGTGGCTTTACAGCTCTGTGCTGAGTAAGGTCATCACCTCACTCTTCCAGCACTGTGGAATCTGCCTGGCAGCAGAGACAAAAAGCATTTAGTAGGAGCTGGAAGAGGATCACAGGCGGGTTTATGCCAGCAGTGAGTTCTCCAGCCCTGTTCCACATGGCTAATCCCTGAGCAAAGATGTGACCTCTCCCCATCATTGGTGCAGGAACACCAGTGCTGGGGATGCTCCTAGACTCTCACACTCTCACCATCTCCAAGTGGGAACGGAAATTTGGCCCAGGCAAGTTTTGTTTTACCAACATTTCTGTTGTGCTTGAAGTGGTTGAAGATCTATATTTTGATGTTGCCCAGAGAAGCTGTGTCTGCCCCATGCCTGGAAGTGTCCAAGGTCAGGTTGGACAGGGTTTGACGCAACCTGATCTAGTGGAAGGTGTCCCTGCCCATAGCAGGGGGTGGGACTGGATGAGCTTTAAGGTCTCTCCCAACCCAAACCAGTCTGGGATTCTGTAATTCCAGGCATGACATGGAGGGATGTCCAATGTCAGCCTCTCCCTGTCCAGCACTGTGACCAGCAGCACTCACAGCCCCCTGCTCCCAGCACAGCACCCACCTGTGGCACCCTTAGGGCCTCCAGCAGGGAGTGACCAGGACATCAAATATTCTTTCAGTAGAAACATCAAAAGCAAGGAGAAGTCTTTGCTGTTGCAGCCAGTTGCACATAGAACTGGTGCTGCCCAAGGAAAGTTCGTGTCGGGGGCTGTGCCCATTGGAGATGGGAAATTCCACTGGCAGAGGAGCACTGGCATGGCAGGGACAGCTTCTGGGAGGCAGTAGATGGAAATTTGCCTCCCAGGAGATCCACTGTAACACAAAGTATGCATTTTTTGTCACAGGGAGTTCTTCTCCCCTCCTGTATGTTCCAGATAAACATCTGCAAGATTTTGCAGGGCACTAAGACTTGCAACTTGAAAAACCCTGGATGAGTCAAATCCTTACATACAAAATACAGGCAGACCTTTCTCCATGGGAAAGTGTGGAGTGGGAAAAAACCAGACCTGTGCCATGGGGGAGCTGCAGAAAGACGGGGTAGGTGGGAACCTTCTTGTGGGACAAAAACCCCCAGGCTCGGGCCTGGGAAGGGGAAGGCTGAGACACAGAGAACTTAAAACCCCAGTTCCCTTTGTCTTACACCAGTTTCATAGTGGTTTCACTGGCTCCAGTGGAGA